AGTGGTTCCGGGTGTCACCCAGTTGTTCCGAGATGCCACGTGTCACAATGTCATTGGAGGGCCAAATCCGCCCTCATCAATTGCCCCCCACTCCCTAGCTGAAAGTAACTCAACAAAGGGAGTAGGTTGCTCCTTTTGGCCTGGATTGACTAGTTCGAAGAGCTCGTAAGCGTCAATCCAATTTGCTTCTCAAGTCGGAAGAGTCCAAGTGTTTGCGGCCATGAGCTTTGGGAGCGACTCACAATCCACACTCCTTACCCTTGATTTTGCCCATGCCAAAGAGGCGACTGGGTCTTATGTGGTGCCGAGGTCTTTTGTCAGCTCGGTACCTTAACCCTTAGGCTCTAGGAGTGACTCGCAGTCCACTCTTCTTACCCTTGATTTTGCCCATGCCGAAGAGGCGACTGGGTCTTATGTGGTGCCAAGGTCTTTTGTCAGTTTGGCACTTTAGAGTTGTGGCTGCGCTGCATCACCCTCGTTAGTGACGTCGGTCACCCACTCCTACAAAAAGCTACTGGGAGCTCGACCTACGGGGGCAACACTACTGACTTTAGGTCACCAGCTCGCGCGGGAGCCCTTAATGGCTCGACCAGCAAGGGTGTTCATGCAGTTTGTTGGCTGCCAACTCCCGCGGAAGCCACGAAGAGCTCATCTTGTAGAGGGTACCTCGCTGATGAGGCTTTATCCGAGTTGAAATAAAGTCGGCAGAGCTACTTAGTCTGTTGGCCATCAACTTCCTGCTTAGTCTTTGGGTTCATAAAAAATGGAAATTAGAAAGTGAGAGCTTTAGTTTCTAAAAGGTGAGAACTTAACTTTCTAGAAGAAGAGGACTTTGCCTTTCAAAAGATGAGAACTTAACTTTTTATAGCGTTTCCCACAGACGACGCCAATTGATGAATCAATTTTTTGGCTAAGTACCTCGTCATTTGGTCTGCTTCCAAGTGGCCGATGACTCAGAGGCCAAAGTGGAGAACTTTTGCTGGATGAGGACCTGGATGTCGAGCTGACCAGGCCGAGCTGACTGAGCTGTGCTGGGCAGGTTAGGTACCGAACTGAATGTGGGGCTGAGCTAGATTGATTGTTGAGCTTCATAGTTCTTTAGAGACCTGCAAGGAATCAATGTTAGAGGACCCGGGGTGGCTAACCCGACGAGGTCCCTCCGATGCTTAAGTCAGTACTCTCATAATAGATTGCGAGCTAAAAATCACAAAATATGAGAGCTAGAATATGTTTATTTGCCCCCCTATGCCATTGGGGTTGGTGCCTTTATATAGGCATTGTTTGGCATGGGTTTCATGCACCGCATCCAAGATTTCCGAGAGGTCGTCGAAGTGGTCCGAGATTCCCGAAGGCAACCGCCATGCACGTTGACCACCCTCTGGATCGTTCGGTACGTGGGCCAACATCCAAGGATCGTGGGAGTGTTGGGATAAGCATGCCGAATTTGTTGACGAGCACGTCTTGCAGGTCGCTAGTTCGGCACCTGTGCCAGGCCACCAGGTCAGCACGCCAGGTCGGCGCCTGTGCCAAGTCGCCATTTCGGGACACCATCTTAGCTAAATTGCCTAAGTGGTTCCGGATATCACCCAGTTGTTCCAAGATGCCACGTGTTACAATATCGTTGGAGGGCCAAATCCGCCCTCATCACATCCCATGGCCCCTAGTTTGATCAAAGGATCCACAGACCTTATTGGGGTCACCGACGATGGCCGGCCATCGTTGGTTACTCTCAATGGTTCGAATTTCATTGCCAACGGGCACCCATCCTCACCGGTGTCCCTTTGGATATTGTAGCGGCTCCATCTACGGACAGGGAAACAAACACGGTCGGTTGTTATGTGGGTTTTGATGCCTAAGAATCGAAGAGTAGGCACGTCGTCTCTCTAGGCAAGCTCAAGGGAATTAAGTCCTGAGCATCTTTAAATTCAAAGTTGGTGGACAACGCATTGGGTGGGAGACAAAGGCAGCGACGTCGAACACGAGACCCAGATCATAATTCTGGAGAAGTCGGACTTCGGCCGTCCTTATGTTCTGTTGCTTCCCCTCATTGAAGGTTCATTCCATGCTTCTCTCCACCCAGGCGACGACGACAACTTGGGCCTTTGTGTAGAGAGCGGGTCGACACACACAAGTGACAAGCTCAAGCTTCAGGAGCTCACTGTACATGCATGTCGGAGATGATCCGTATAGTCTTGTTAAAGACGCAATGAAGGAGGTGAGGGTTCACCTAGGAACCTTCGAACTCCTGGACGAGAAGGCTCCTCCAGGAATAGTAGACAAGTTTGGTTGGTGCACCTGGGATGCCTTTTATCTTAACGTACATCCTGGTGGAGTGTGGGAGGGGGTGAAGGGTCTGGTGGAGGGCGGTTGCCCGCTGGGACTGGTGCTCATCGACGACGGATGGCAATCCATTTGCCACGATGATGACCCATCTTTGTCGCCGCTGCTGTTTCTATATCGCGAGGTTAGAGAAGAGAAACAGTACTTTTCTCCCTTCCAATATTTATTAAAAGGGTATTATGGGGATTAAAACGGTAGATTTAAACGAAAAATTAACGGAAAGGGGTCTTTGTCTCACGGTCAAAGTAAAGGAGGTTTTATCGCAAAGCAAAGTACAGCGGGTTCTTTATCACAGACCCCATAGTACAGGGGTGTCTTTGTAATTTACCCTTACTATAAATATTATTTATTGAAAATAACTAATTACTGCTTTCAGTATTTAATATTATTTAATTATATTATTAAAAATATTAATTACTGAATGTAATGATTAATAACTGATAATATTATAAAACATCTGAAAATAAAAGTAAATAAAATAACTAAAATTATTAGAAATACTGAATTTTTTAATTACTAAGTATACTAATTACCAAAAATATCAATTAATTAAAAAAATAAAAAATATTAAAATTATTGAAAATAATTTAATTAGTGAACATAACTAAAATACGATAGTTAGTTAAAATATATAATTATTATAAATATTAATTACTGAAATCTATAGTTTCGGTGGAAATTTACTGATTTAATTAATTTTCTGGATTTTTATGACTTGACCCATTAACCGAAATGTGGCCATCATCTTCACCCCGTTATAAAGAAATGGAGAGCCACGACAGTATAACTATTAGAGGAGTTGATGGTCAAATTCAAATCATGAAAAGTCTGTTTTCATTTACCAATACTAAAACACACATATACCATATTCTCTCAATGAGCACGAAATTTGGGAGACTTATTCATAGATATACCTGTTCATGGGTCGGGCCAGGCCGGGTTTTGTATATGTATCATAGAATACACTCAGGCCCGAGCTCGAGTCTGGCCTAACAGTCGGGCCTAGGTCTTGAGCTCGAGCCTGGGCCTAAGCCCAAGTCTGGCCAGAAATTTGAAAACAGAAATTTTTTTTTTATTCAATAAAAAAATATTTTATTTATATTAAAAATCTTCAAAACTAAAAACTAATAAACATCTCACTATTACTTGGAAAAAAAGAGAAGAACAACAAAAAAAAATATTGTATATATATATATATATATATTTATTAAATAAAATATATTTTTATTATTTAATATAAAGTATCAAGTTGGGCTCGGGCCGAGCTTTTTTGAGAAAGCTCAAGCCCAGTTCGGAAAAAGTCAAGCCTGGTGCTTTAGGCCCGAGCCTGAACCCGCAGGCCTAAAATTATGACCAAGCCCGACTTATAACAGGCTGGGCCGGGCCAGACCGTCGGGCTTATCTAGTCCATGAACAGGCCTATTCACAAATAAACCTGTTCACGGGTTGGGCCAGGCTGGGTTTGGGCTGGGCTTTGCCTCTTTATCAACAGAAAATGTCCAGACCTGAACTCGAGCCTGGCCTGACCTTCGGGCCTAGATCTTGAGCCCAAGCTCAGCCCTTATATAAAGCCCGAAGCCCAATCTGCACATAAAATGTCCTATTTTTTATGTAATTAATTCATATTTCCTGAATAAAAAATTAATATTTGATAATAATTTTATAAATAAATGCATATTATATATAAAAATGTATATTTCTATTATATATAATAGTATCAGGTCGGGTTAGACTTACTTGAAAAAGCCCGAGCCCGAGTTCATGGGCCTAAAATTTTGTCTAAACCCGAAAAATATCAGACCGGGCCATGGGGGGCTATCTAGCCCATGAATTGGTCTATTCACAAAGAGGTCTTCACAGTGCGTCCAAAAAACTGAATGGAGGTCTTTACAGGGAGGTCTTCACAGGTCTACATAGTGCATCCAAAAAAGACTAATGTAACCTTCATCCAAGAACGATAGGAACGATCGGACTGTGTCAATAGACTGGGTAATGTACCCCCTGTTAGTAGAGAAGAAAAAGATGGTTAAAAGCGATGCTAAGAAGGCTAATAGACTCCATCGTCTCTTGAACTATGGCAGAAAACAAAGGTAAAGTACCGCCGGTTTCTGGGAATGGAAGAGTGTCGATTTCTAGGAATGCAAGAGTGGGTAGTGTTTTATGGGAAGAAGAATGTGACAATGGCAAGATTATTGAATCCTACCGACCTACGCTACTTACTAAACATCGATTTCTTTTTATCATTACATTGATTTTGGATTTATATAAATCAGGATCTTTATTCCCTTTTCCATATATATTACGATTCTTAAAGATGCCTTTCTCTGGAACGTGAAACGTGAAGTTAGATATCTTAATAACTTGGAACGTGAAACGTGAATATAAGTTGAGATGTATAATGGGGTTGCTGATTTGGCCGTTTGAGAGTGATGGGAAAGGGGAGGAGAGAGAGCCAAAGAGAATGCATAATAAGGATAATAGAACAAGGAGATGCATGATAACGTGGACCGTCTTATAATATATATAGATAAATAGATAAGATAATCTAGGACCAGCCCCGTAGATGTTTAGGTTGGAGCGTATTTGTGTGGACTGGCCCATGGGTCCGAGAGTTTGATCTAACCCAAAATCAGTTTCTTTCTCCTTTGATTAAGCAAGATTGCAACTATAATGCATAGGCCACGAGTTTAATATATGGAATGGGGCTGCAAATAGATTGACGAATTCGGATAGGTATATCCAAATTCGATGTTCTACCAAAAGAGAATATGGAAACTCGATCTACAAAATTTGATTCATTAATTTATGTATTCAATTATAATTTAACAAAAATTAACAATTCTCGAAATTTACAAATACTTGAGTAAAATTTATTTACCAAAAAATAATAATTTGTTTTGGTAACTTTGCACATATAATTTCGGTAATATCGGTAATTTTGATACTTAAGCGTGGTACATAGTACATTATATTTTTTTTGTAAGTTTTATCATTAATTTTGAAACTATTGTAATCTATTTTTATTTAATTAATTATTGACAATTACAAAAAAAAATATCAATAAATTCTCATTATTCAATTTTAGAAATTAAAAAATTACTGCAGTTTACTATTAATTGATATTGTTGTTGTTTAACCTTTAATTTTTATTTACTGTTATTTTTTTATTTGTAATCACTAATTTTTGAAAATCATCAGAAATTAGTGAAATTTATTGTTATTTAATTAACATATATTGTTTTCTTCTTCTTTTTTTCAATTAACAGAAATTATTGTTATTTTCATTTACTATAATTATTTATTTATAATTTTGTTAAATGATCTATTTATCAAAAGTTAATAATTACCAAAAATTAGTTTAAGTAAAATTTTTACCTAAAAATAATAATTTGCTTTGACAATTTTGCAAAGATATTTTTGGTAATATTGGTAATGAATTTTGGTAATTTTGATCATTAATTGTGGTAAATTATTTTTGGTAAATTTCATAACTTTTATTTAGAAATGTCATAAACCTTTTGTATAATTTGTTTATTTAAAAATATTAATGTAGTGAAAATTCAACCAATAACTAAATATGCAAGTTTACTGAAAATTAATAGTTTGTTTTGATAATTTTGCAAAATTAATTTTGCTAATCATTTGTGGTAAATTATTTTTTCTAAATCTTGTAATTAATTTTGAAACTATTGTAATTTATTGTTATTCAATTAATATTGAAAATGTCATAAAATATCAATAAATTATTGTTATTTAATTTTCTAAAATTAACAAAATTTACTATAATGAATTTTTATATGTTATTGCATAACAAAACCTGTGTATCTTATGGGCTCCACTAATTTTTAGGAATTTTTTTGTTTTAATAATTAAATAACATAAAGATGGTCATACATTAAAATTTTGAGAAAAAAAAAACTAAAACAATAAAAGTGTTAAATTTAGTATAAGTACACCTGTTCCAATGTATCGAAACTAGACCTGGCAATTGGGTTGAGTGGGTTAGGTTCGGGTTGGGTCAAGACACTTCGGGTTGATTTCGGGTTGGGTTATCAAATGCTAGACCCTAACCCTAAATGTTCAAGTTATGGTTGACCCATGGGTCAATTTGGGTCATCCCAAAAAATAACTGAAATTTAAAAAATAAAGAAAAACTACATGAAAATTGCCAAAATTAAAGAAATTAATCTTAAAATTCCAAATTTAAAATAAAAAAAAAGTTGAACATTTAACAAGTTAAAGAGTAAAGACTAAATTGAAAAAATTAAAGAGTGGAAACTTCTAACAATGCATAAATAGTCCCAATTAGACTTGACAATCGGGCCAACGAGTTGAACCATGACCCAACCCAGTTTTTTTTGGGTTGGATTGGGTCAGGTCATTCTCACATTCAGATAGCTAACACATGAGACCCTAACCCTATTTTTTGGGGTTGGATCAATTTTTTGCCAGGTCTAATCGAAACGCAACAATCAAAAGATAACCGTTTGAGAATAATTGCCATTGATTATTGAAATGAGATGGCTTACAAGAATGATAAAAGTGTACAAACAATTTAGAATGAACCAACCAAAGATAACATTTTCACACAGTGCTTTACAAACAACTTTGGTGTTTAGAAAGGTACAAAGGGCACAAATAGAGAGATTACATAAGTTACGTGGATTTAATGCATTTGATGAATGAAAGAAAAGCAAATTACTAGCATTGCAAGTCTTAAGGTTGCTTGGTCTCTCCACTCAAGATTGCTCCACTGGTTCCACCGCCGCTGCCGCCACTGCCACTGCCACCACCTCCACTTCCACCAATTCCAACACCTACACTAATTCCTCCACCTCTTGGACCACCTACTCCCACTCCTCCACCACCTCCTGCACCTCCTCCTCCGATGCCACCACCTGCTCCTCCTCCACCACCTCCACCACTGCCTCCAATGCCAATACCAATTCCACCACCAACACCAATTCCAACACCAATTCCTCCACCAGCACCTATTCCCCCACCAATTCCTTTGCCAATACCTCCCCCGATTCCTTCACCTCCACCAATTCCTCCGCCAATACCTCCTCCAGCGCCACCACCTCCACCAATTCCTCCGCCAATACCCCCTCCGGCGCCACCACCTCCACCAATTCCTCCGCCAATAGCCCCTCCAGCACCACCACCCCCACCAATGCCACCACCGCCACTACCACCAAAACCAATTCCCACCCCACCACCACCAGTATACTTTCTCCCTTTTTTCTCGTGACCTTTTCCGCCATTACCACCACCACCTTTTCCTATGCAGTCAGGTTTTCTTAAAATGGTCCCAAGTTTTCTAGCGCCAAAGGTTGAATCCCTACCCTTACCGGCGGCACTGAGCAAATGTTCGAAATTCAACCCATTCCACCCACCACCACCCACTCCACTACCTTCAACCCAATTCATAGTTCCTTCAAATGGCAACCCCGCCGGTTTCTTGATTTTAGCGTCGATTTTCTCCTCCAAACTTTTACATTGAGTACCGCCGAGTATACACTGCAGAACCACCCACAATACCAGCCAAAACCGCTTACCCTCTACAATTAACTCCATCGTTACTGAAAAGATGTGAGATGAGATCCTGATAGACTCCCCTATTGATTTATATAGAACAGCTAGCTACCGCCCTATTTTACTATTTTATCTTTATATTTTCGTCTGCAATTACCCCACCTTTCCAACAAGTTCGGATATGCAGACCACAACACGCTGCTGGCCACGCTCATCCAACCGTGCATTGAAAATATCAGTGACCACAACACAACTGATGTTCCATATATGTGGCTGAGTGAACGTAATCAGCAATGTGTTGTAATCAACAGATCCCGACTCCTTTCCAACATTCTTCCAGCCTGATCACCTGCATGCTCATGTTCTACGTGACAGTTCACCTGCATTCATGGCCGCCGTGATTGGCTTTCTCTTTATTAAGTTTGGGAAGAGTCAGAGAATTCATGGACATGAATGAGAATTGATGAACTAAAGGGCCATTCAATCAATAAAATTTGGATCTGGGCATGAATGGATCGATTATTAGGTATTATCATCACTAGAATAATTAATCCTGAACCAATTTTTTTGGTTGATTAATTGGCTGTTTGAAACATTTATATGAATGGTTCAATGAGATGGATCCCTCATTAGGCCACGAGTTATTGAACCCTCGGATTAGCAGTCTTTTGCTAGTCAACCACTCATGCCAATCCAAGATCGCAGCTGATCCCCAAGACAACATTCATTGAATGTTCCAATAACTGTATAACCCGTGAAGTTGGGCACTTTCAGTTAAAGGGATTTATGTTTTTTTTTTTCCTTTTACACTTAACCAATGAATGATAATGCAAGAATATTGTTAAGGGGGTTCGACTACGAGTGGGTTAGGCTTTTGAGTTTCGAGAACAAACAGTTGCAAGAGAAGGAGGTTAGCTCACGGGCTGTATTCAAAGGCTCCAAGTATCACGAGCTCTCCCAAATGATTTCATATTTTACAGTTGAGATGAGCTTGCCACATTTTACAGTTGAGATGAGCTTGCCACATTTTCCACTCGCAGCTTCTCTTCTTCTGTGGCAGTGGCAGCCCAAAAGTGTTGTCTGTGTGTTTTATTCATCATCTGTCTAGCGAGTTACGGACTTACACCCTAATATATACAAGATGGGGACATTTGGGACTTTGATCAAACGTGTGGACGCCATTGGCATTTCAGCTGCCTTCTCAGGTTTTTTTTTTTAGGCAAAAGCATAACAATTCAATTATCTCGAATCAGTAATATCAGAGGATACAAGAGGGGTAGCCACTTCAGGACAAAGAGACCAAGTACGTGGTCTATTACAAGATAAAGCCCAACGTGCTAAGCAATGGGCCACTTTGTTAGCAGTCCTCCTAACTAAAGATACCGAGATAGTTGGAAGGCGTGAAACATAGCTTCTGCAGTCAGCAATTATAGAGCTGATTTGCCACAGTGGTTGTACTGATTCCACCAACAGAAGCTAAACTATAACTGAAGCATCGCCTTCTATAACCACATGGTGAAGATTTAATTCCATTGCGAATTCCAGTCCATGGAGGAAAGCCAAAGCTTCCGCTTCAAGTGGTGTGCATGGCTGCAAGGGAATTGCTCGTGAAAACAAGTGAGAACCATTGTGGTCACGGAGCACAATACCAACACCAGCAGCCTTAGTGCTCGTAGCTCCATTTACATTAATTTTTATGCAGTTCTGGGGAGGTTTAATCCATCGACTTGAGACATTATCAGTCAGCTGCCTCTCATTCAATGGGGGAGGTGATCTTCTACTTGACTGAAGAATGGAGATGGTATAGGCTTGCGCTCTGATGAGAACCGACTGGGGATTGAAAGGTTGATGTTCAAACACCTTCTTATTTTGATGCCACCATATAAACCACATCAACACAACAGCATTGAAAAGGACATGTCGTCCTTGTTGAGTTCGATCCAATTTCCACCAATCAGATAACCTCTGCGCTATACTTTTGCTCGAGTTACAGTCCATACGCAAACCTAAGGTGGAGCCAAACCAGATTGGCAAGACAGCAGGGCAGGAGATCAGAACATGTTCCAAGCTCTCCTCATGATCACCACAAAGAGGGCACTCTGTCTCATTTACAACCCGATGCTTAGCTAAACTAACCTTAGTGGGTAATGAATCATGTAACACCCTCCAAATAAAGAGCTCCACACGGGGAGGAGTAGTATTCTGTTTCTACCAGTGCTTCCAATACAATTCTCCATCTTTCACACCCATGTTAGATGTATCTGGGTTTTCAGCTTCTAGTAATTTTAAGCATGAAGAAGTTGTAAATTCTCCATGGGGGGTGGCCGTCCAAACTAGGTTATCTTGAGCTGCAGTACCTGGTTTTGGGAGCCAAATTCTAACTATACGCCTGACAGTATCATCATCAAAAACTGAGTTTAACTCATCTCTTTTCCATGACATTGAGGAGTGATGGATAAAATTTGCCACTCGGCCAAGTCCAGGTTTCACTTTAATGCCTTCCGGATCCCCAATAACTGAAGGTATCCAAGGGTCACATCCAGCACCTACATCCCACCCATCACCTATAATCCATCTGCAGGCTTTCAACAGAATTTTTCTGCACTCAAGCATACTAGACCAGATTGGATAGATAGTACCCTTCCTTGTAGAGCTCCAAAAGGTTCCATGTTGTAAGTACTTCGCATGGAGAATCTTCACCCATAAAGAATTTGGGTTTTTACAAAAGCGCCAACACAACTTTGTTATAAGAGCTTTATTTCTCTGTGCCACATCGACCAAGCCTAATCCTCCTAACTCTTTAGGTTTAAGAATACTAGCCCAGGATTTGAGATAGTATCCCTTCTCAGTTGCCAATATGATGTTTAAGCCTATTGAATGCATAGCATACCTCTAGTCACTTAATTTCATAGAAATTAAATCTATCTTGAAATCATAGACTAATAAAAAGAAGGCAAATGTCAAATGGATCTTACATTCCAATGGGCACAGAAGATTGCCACCCACGATCCACCATTGTAATAGAATCTTCTGCTGGGAATATCAAGAAACATCTATGATGCAAATTCACAAACATTTGCCATCATTTCCATGCATCTCTCTCTGGCCCAATCCGAGACTAGCCGGGCCTAGCCCAATTATGCTTTGGAAGGGACCCAGGTCTAGAACCATTTTTATCTTTGCTCTCTCTCTCTCTCTCTCAAAAATTCCTGATATATAATTCTTGTTTAACTAAAACTCAACAAAACTAATCTAATTAAATCATTAAGTGTTTATAAGATGCATACACGATAATCATTGCTCGACACAAGGCCTTCCTAGTAGAAGGACCACTATAAAATAATTAAATAAATAAATAGTGAAAAAAAGACTTCACGCCTTTTAAGGTCCACTTGACTGGCTGAATCTATCTTGGATTTGTTAAAATTTAGGGGGTGTTATGTAGTGTGGATGAGAAATTTGTGGGTGTTGAGTAGTCCACACCACACTCAGTGGTAGGGACTAATCCACACATCACAGTTCATAGTTATTCTAAATTGTGGATAAATTGTGTGATCAGACCAGTCCACACCCACAGTGGCGTTCTATACCACACTTTTTGATTCCATGTATCTCATATACATTTTATGGGAGATCTACACAATTGATTATAAATGTCTAATTTTTGCATTTTATATGGTAAATAAATTGAAAAGGGCATCAATATGTAGGCAACAATTGCATCTTTTAAACAATTAAAAAATATTATTTTAAATATTAAAAAAAATAAAAGACTTAATATTTTAAATATTATTTTATTGATAAAAATATTAAAAGTTAATATTTAAATAATGAAAAAATTGTTGAGAAGGAGAACCGTCGGACTTGTGCCAGAATTATCATTAAAAATTATTATTTTATTGATAAAATATTAAAAAATTAAAATTTAAAATTTATTAAAAGATTATCCACACCATAGTATGGACCATCCACGAGAAAATACTATGGATGATAAATTGCGGTGTGGCCCATCCCTATCCACACTATTTTGTAGATGGGGACCATCAATACATAACAGAACACCATATCTTACCGTGGACCAAAACGGTCCTGTCTACAATATTTACACACTACCAAACGCCACCTTAGCTTTGGGGAGGGATGTTAGTTTCCTTTGTTCTAGTTAAGACCTAATTTGTTTGCAATGTAATTCCATTTGCACTAATGCAAAAGTACACACTCATTGGATGCAAGTTTTGATTTATTTTTGTTTAGAATTTTACTTTGTTTTGTTTGTTTGTAGTGTAAATCAATGAAAATAAAACAAGCAAATTAAGTTAGATTTGAAGCAAAAGTAAAATATAATTTATACTCTTCTAATTTGTACTCCCATGCATTTTTATTAGTGCAGATGAAATTGAATTACAAACAACTGGAGCCTTGAAAATTTTTTTGGTCCATGGAAAGAAACAATGGACAATATGGTTTTCCTTTTCTGGTATTCAATATAATTTTCATTGTTCATAATTTGTAGCTTCAAATGTTTTTTTTTTTTTTTAATTATCGGAAAACCCAGTTTCAAATGTTAAGTTTATGTGCAGTCAAAGACAGTTCCATCAATATAATGAGAGTTAAGAAGTTTAGTAGGGCGCTTTGAAGAGAAAAAAGTTAAGCTGTGTTTGGTTTGAAAGAAAAGGAGGGGAAAGGTTTTTTTTTTTACTTCAAATTAATTTCGTAAGAAAAAAATTAAGATAACTAGAATTTGTAGATAGATCCATGCATATGTACCAAAATGTGTAGCTATAATATAACGCATCAGGTTTAGCTTGGAAGTTGGAACGGGTTCCCAAAGGCCTCAGCCCAACACAAACCAACCTTAAATCAAGCCTGAAAATTTCCAACTCTAGCCCTAAACCAATGTTTCTTTTTAATGATATTTTTTAAAGGGCTATACAACGGAGGTAACTCATCCCCCAATCCAAATGCAAGCGAGATTCGACCCTAAGTGTCACTATACGACCGGCAGGAGACCTTAGCAACTTGCCCGCTGGTTGGCACCTTGC